GGCGAGCTGTTTGTTTGCCTGGTTATTCTGGACTGGTGGTAAATACGTAATTCCAGACCAAAGGCTGAGCAAACAGGAGTTACATAAAGGCACTGTACCTGAACACACAAACACCTCGCACCGCCGTCTTCTCTTAAGAGACGGGTCTTTCTTGTTCGCTGTTTATTTTTTTAATTTAATTTTTTGCGCGTTTCGCTGCTTGGAAACAGTCAGCCTTGATGTAGACTGGAAGATCGTGCTGCTGGATGGGGTCAAAGTCAAGTTGGCTCCAGGCCGACAGGTGTCCCGTATCAGTAATGACATTCATCAGAAACCCACAGAGTCCCTCGCACCACGACCAGCCACCGTTTAACAACACAAAGGAAACCACAGCTACGTGATTTTACTGTTGACCCTGTGCTCAAAGCCTGACTTGTTTTCTACAGTTAGAAAGAAGAGGATAAATAGGCCACAAGTGGTCTTAAAGTTAAGGAATATTAGAAAAAAGCAGCAAATGTTCTATAGTTTACTCTAGTAATATTATTTATGATGGAAATATATATTCTCTTAGACATGTTTGCTACATTTATGTAAGTGTATTTACAAGTTCAAAAATGWGGTTATTTTCTTTCTATTAGTATTGGATTAAGGTAGTTTTAGTTGCTGCCAGAAAGTCCAGCATTCTTGCTGAATAAAACAGCTTCATATTGGCAGAGAAATAAACAAACTAGTAATAAAACCAGTTGGTTTCGACACTAAACCGAAGGAATCACCAGAAAAAAACTAAAGGTGGGATTAATTTTTATCACTTCATACAGTCTCTGGAGGAATCCACATGTAGGGACGCATGCAGAGTAGATATCTGAGTCACTCTTGAGTTACAATTTTTGTAAATCTCTGATCCACTAAAGCCATTTTTAAATTCTCTTTTGGAACTATTGTCAAAAATTCATGTGCATAAATTCTATTTTTTTATTAGAAGCCTCTTCTGACTTCATTTTCCAACTTCCTATTGATTTTATAATTAGCTACCCTCAGTTACCAACATCCATTCAGAGCTATGGTGTGTTCATAGACTGGAGGAAAAAATGGATTTTTCTGTGTCGGATTAGTCGGTCATAGGTGACCCCTTACCAACAATGGTGATCATTTCTTTCGCACATGTACAAAGGTTGGTATAAGCTTTGCGTCAGCAGTTCTTTGTGCCTGTGTTACAAACTCTGTGCTGTAGAATTAACGTTRACTTCAAACACGGCAGCGCCCACCGACTGATGGTGACCCAGAAGGTCACAATGAGGTGGGGTGGGGSGTGGAAGATGAGTGGCCAAATACAGGAAGTCACTGGAGTATGGGGAGGGGTGCGCAGGGAGGAGAATTTTGGGAATCYTTTGGCGAGCAGTCAGTGCTGGACTAAACAAGACCAATTAAAACCTGTTAGTCCTTTTCAGAAACTAACGAGGGGCCGCAGTCACAGGGGTCTGGATGGAAGGCAGTCATCGGAGGACACAAACACTCGTGCACACACAAACTACACATCAGGACAATTGAAAACACTAATGGSCAAAACAAAAACCAGATTGCACCACGACAAATTTAGCAAATTTCCCCACCGAGCATCTTTTCCTTAATAACCCATAACAGAACGGTTCAACAGAAGGAATGTTTTCCAGACCAAACACTGGCATCAAATGTTTTGTTTCTGTTTGCAAAACGAAAAGCAGACTTTTATTAATGAGTTCAAACAACCACTTCTTGTGCGTTACCTCCAGTCGGAACTTGTCTCACAGCAAATACAACTGTTCTGTGGTTGGTCAGAACTACACCGGAGTCATTTACACATCAACTGCTCCACCGAGAGGATCGACTGGCCAAGGCTGTTAGAAAATACAGTCATCTTTACAACTGCTCCAGAAAAACTTATGAAGATAGTCAAATAATTCTTTTGATAGAAGAACTCGTGGAAGGAGATGGCACCAATTCTGTGCACAGAGGAACAGCAAAAAATCAACTTCCAGCATTGTTTGTTGGTAACAGTGGTAGTGGTGGTCTCTTTAGTCACAAATTTAAAAAAAAGTTACTCCTCAGTGAACAGAAATACCAGATCTTCCTCCTCCAATTCCTCCATCATCAACTGAAAATTAACATMATCTCTGGCAAGAAGCTGTTTGTACGTGACATGAGCTGCAGTGGGAGGACAATGAGGCCTTACCAGGATGTCTCCCCCACAGATTCTCATTAAGGAGGAATTATCCATGCGAAAATAAAATGTCTCATAATCACCTTAGCAAGATATGAGGACTTGAGAAGTTTAACCAGACCTTAAAGGCCTACATATATTCTAAGCCAAATTTATTGAAACAAACTCTTGTATTAGATACCRTTCTCACCAGTTTCACAACTGATTAAACGTTGTTTGACGCACGGTCTGCAGGATGTTGTTACAGTTTAAATTAAATGTGACCCATCATATCGAAGTGACGATTAAGTCAAATTTGGACAAAATGACCTAACTACATTTTTAGACTCCTGGCTTTAAAAGCTACATTTTGATAGCTGGATTATTCTGATATTATAAGCCTATTCAGAGATATAACTTAATTTGTCTTGTTGGTTATGATAATACATTACTGTTTGGTCTGAATCCTAATTTTATGTTATTTGATTGAGTAWTTTTTGATGTTAATATAAAGAGAAAACCTCAAATATTATTTGTATATTCAGATTTCCCAGTTGGAAATAAGCAAAAACATTGCTAGCTCACAGGGAAAATTTTAAAATTTTAAAGCATTTTTCCTCAAAATCAGGTTTTTTTGTTTCTACTGGTAAAAAAATGCTTCAATTTTTTTTTCAGGATTATATTTCAGACAGTTCATTCAAATTATACCATTGATAAGGTATTAATTCATTATATTTTGACAAAATGCAATTTTTGCACACGTTTAAATCAAAACCCTACATCTGCCTGTTGGACTTAACCCTTGTTTCGATGTGATGGGTCACAAATGAGAAGATCAGTAACATGATCCTTTTTATTCTTTTATAAAGAAGTTACAAGTTGACAAATCCTACCTTGTTTGATACTTTGGAGCTTTTCAACTAGCGAATGTTTGTTTTTCTGTCATTGCTTCTGGAAAAGGTATTAACTCTTAAAAATGGGGGTATCCTAGTTTTTGGGCATCTGTTTGTTTAGATACAATGTTTTTCAGTTTCACAAAGTCTGTCATGATACGATTTYGATTTAATTCAATTTACAAGTTTGCAGTCGAAACAATGCAATATCATTATGTCCATGATTGTTTTAGATGGGCACATGATGACAATATGGATCCATGTTTTTGTTTTGCCTCCATGTAATTGAAAAATTTTATTAATACATCAATGTATTTTTTTTACTCTTATTGGGCATAATTTCCTATTCCTGTTGCGCAGAACCTCAACCACACCCTGACCTCAGAGTAATTGATTCATGTGTACCATTACACCCCTAATATACACATTCAAACCACAGTCCTGTAACACAAAAGCCTTATTATTAGTCTGATTTTCCTGCAGAACAGTGACGCCAGCTGTGAAGTTCTCCATCCTGCCTGATAATAGTCTGAACAAACCCATGCAATCAGCCCCATTCACGGGACACAGCACTCACAGAACCGCTCTGACCTGACTGACCTACAGAGGACCAGCCTCCTCGTCCTGGATTTTAGGTGTGGGTTCGTATCGTTTCACCTGTCAGCTTCAGAGCTCTCACAGGAACAAGGACGCCAGGAATTAAACACTTGAGAGAAATTAGAAATCTCCTGGCCAAAACTCCTGTTTGCAGAAATGAAGGAAATTCTACAAAAAAAAAAAAAATGAAGTGGTGTAATGGAGGGCAGATTTTTTCAGGGTTGAGTTTTTACCTCCGCCAATAATGTTTTTGGTCGCGTATGTCTGTCTGTCTGTCGTTCTGTCTGTGGACAACATTACTCAAAAACTTGTGGACGGATTGTCATGACATTTTTAACACATGTGGGAACTGGGCCAAGGAACACACCCTTAAATTTTGGTGAKGTTCTAGATCACAATGCGGATACAGGAATTTTTTTTCTTTTAACACTCTGAGATCGGCAAAGCTGTGATGCTTTCACAGGGCTTCTGTAAAAAACAGTGACCACAGACTTCAAACTTTATAAAAGTAATGTTAAAACCACATTTAATGATGATTAAATTTTGCCATAATATGCGCATTTACAGAACGTTTTGTGACCAGGAAGTGCGTGACTGCACCATGAAACCTATTTTTTCCCATTTCCTCAAACACACCACATTTCCAAAACAACCAATCAAAACAGTTTCTCGCTACTAGGCTTGTAAACAGAGAGCTGCCGGGCCTCAAAGTTTGGAGACGGGGGAGCCAGTAAGCACTTTATAAAGAGAGTCAAACCATTACAAACTCATACCAGGGGATAAAACAGACAACAAATGTGACTGATGAAAACTTAGGAGCTTAATCCGACACTAATTTGACAATGAATAACGTCGGGCGACGAGTCTGACTTTTTTTTTCACATTGGACTCCACCGACAAGAAATCCCGTGCATACTGCTGCTTAAATGTTCGCTACGTCAGACCTTATTCGGGCAAATGTGTTTCCATCTCTGCTTTTGTGCATTAACTCTTACAGGATGGGGGAAATCGGTCTTGGCGGAGGTTTGCACTCTCAGAGTGCTTCTAGTTATAAATGCATTTGGGTGTTTTTCAAGACTTATGTTCCAGTCAGTTCCAGCACCACTTATTGCTCATAGTTAGGCACAAAGCTTAACATTCTTAACATTAGCACATTCGTGTTGGAAGARGTTCTCATGAGTCACTAAACACATTCTGGTAAAACTCATTAGACGCACAGTTAAAGGAACAGTCTGGTTGTCGAACAAGTTTTTGGGTTCCCAGCACCTATATTGCTTTTTTGAAACCACTTTTTTTTAGCTTAATGATGCGTTTGATTTGGCAAACAAATGCTTTACTTGTTGGAAGAAACTCACAGTCCTCAAAGTTGGAGCGGCTTTTGCTGCTTCTACTCTGCTGAGGTGTGTTGTCTTGTAGTTTGGACAGCAGGTTTAACGCCTTTGTTTTCCTCTCCTCCATGCGTGGGTCCCTCTCCTCGGCTCTGCCTTCACGACTCAACRGTGTCCTTTGTCCATTTCGGTCGCTCAGTCCCAGAATATTGGGCTCCTCCTCGGCAGGCCTCTCGTCATTTGAGTAAGTACCTGGAGTGTAAGCRGACAACTTTAGATATAGATTTAAACAACTAAGCAAGGCTTGTTATTAGTATGAAAAGCACATCTGTATTCATGAAGCTTTAGAAGTAGCCACTACATCACATTCCTTTAATAAATGTTGATTCTCTTTACAGCCACCCTTTCCTTCATTTCTTTCATAAACACACCAAGACATGAACTCTGTTCCTTAAACAGCCATTTGTTTTGTCATTGCTCAGCCAATTAAGAGTCTTATTATCTCCCAACACAAAGTCCGCTGAATACACTTCTTGGTGCCGAAGTGTGGAGACAAAGAGTGCCATCAATACAGACTTGAGACTGAAGAGGTCTGGGATTGTCTTCTGCAACAGTTTCCATTAGAGTTTCTGAATCTTTTCTTTGTGCTACTTTTTTGCAAAATGAGAGATTTTTGTGTTAATTTAGAAAGTGATGCATCTGGAGACGGTTCCATTCATTCACTCAGGGGAGAGATTGACCATTCGAGTTGCTAACGCGCACCCAGATTCATTAAGCTTCCCAAACGTAGCGGAGAGAATTCATTTCTTCCACCGGTGAGCGTGCAAAGGTCAGCAGCGCAGATTGATGGAGCCATGTCTCATTTGACAGGATGTCTTCCACCACGCTGCACACAATCACACGCTCTCGTGTCCCGCCGCAGCTCCAATGTCAGCGGAACAGGCGAACGGACAAGGAGGGGATTTATGCATTTCTCCATGGCACAGAATTCATCATTTGTCCTCGTATGCAACACAAAACCATCGTCGTGACATCGTGATGAACGACAAGTGAGGATTTCAGCTTTCAAAATCTCAGAACTTTGGCTTGAGCCACAAAAAGTGCCATTTGTGTTCTGTTTTTTTTTTTAATTAAGAGATACATTAGGTCTGTGAAACATCAAATAGTGTGTTGATGTAGATTATTGTAAAATTACAGTGAAGCCCCAATTTTCTCAAGGGCTATGTCCTTAAGAGTACCAGCAAATCTTGAAAAATACAAATATGGGCCTACAGAATATTTGTGGTGGCATCATAATGCGATAAGAACCAAACAAAAATGCACAGGAGCTAAATAGTTAGCAGCTACTGTACATGCGGAAGGCAGAAATGCTGAGTCATGTATTGCATTTGTTTTTGTTTTTTTGGAACTGTCGTTAATATGTTACAAAATTTGTAAATAAGATTGTTTTTAATAATTTGGCTTGAAAACTCCAGAAAAAGCATGAGAAAAAAATTGATGTTCCCTACTGTACCGCATTTCTGGTATTTTACCATAAGTGATTTGACCAGTGTGTTGGAAATGACTCAGTGTCTGTAAAATCAATAGAATTAGGATCAATAAGTTGTGGTGGCCATCTTGAAGATGTAAATGTAATGATTAAAATCTGAGCGTTTCATTCAAATCCATCCAGATAATTTGTTTGACAAAAAAAAGTACTGTGGCTGAACTTTTTGCATAAAACATGAACAACAGTTTCTTTTTTCAGTATCATTTTCAGATTTGTTGCAGTTTTTATGAAMAGTTTGGCTAGGTTTAGAAAAATAATGCATGCTTTGTGTTGCGACACACCTTTTAATAAGATTTAATACAACTTACAAAGCTGTATTTTGGATTTCTTTAATGTTTATGCTGCATTCCAGTTGTCCTTAGAGATTGTAGTTTTCCACTGTAATTCCCCCTGATGTCGTAGTTTCGAGTCGAGAGGTCGGTGCAACACGACCATGACATGAACCAGAGGGTGTCCAGGGGTGAGTGGCACAGAAACAGAGCCAGAGACCAAATACAAAAGGCAAGTGATTTATTTACAGGTGATGGTGATATATACAGGAGCTGYGACATCATCCAAAGAGGTTCTGTGGAGGCAACTGGCATGGAGGGAGATACCAAGGATTCCAGGATCCAGGAGGAGAATTCCAGAAGAGTCACAGGTAAGTGGTTTCCTTAAAGGGATCCCCGATTAGTTGTAACATTAGACTTTATATGATAAACATACTTCAACTGTAAAATAAAGACTGTAAAAGTACTGTAGGATTTTCAGTTTTATTACAGTTTTTTAATTAAAAGTTTAAAAATATATTACACGGACAGGCCCATTTCATTTACACGCAAAGCATTCTGGGTAAATGATGACATCAACTAGGTCATCGGTGCGAGGCTGCTAGTGAGCTATATCCACCCTGAAGGTTAATCTTGGACAATATCTGATGATCGACTCTTTTAAATGAAACCAGAGAGCGTTGACAGAGAGGAGAAGGTAGAAATGACTCAGCCTGGAACTGAAAATATGGATGGAGGACCTCAGTTTAGCTTGTTTGTCGCACTAGCGCCGAGCTAATGCATATAAGGCAATATAGCATGAGGGCTAGTGCAAAGGCTAACAGGCTAAGCTGAGGGCCATGTTAAATATATTTTTAAAAATTTACAACTAAACAGCCTACAGTATTTTTACTGTTTTTATTTTACAGTTAAAATAAATGTTTATCAAATAAAGTTTAATGTTACAACTAATCGTGGATCCCTTTAAAGCTGATGCACTGGTGGTTTGTTCGTCCTGAGCAGGGGTAATACAAAAATGCAAGAAAAATACAAAACTTAAGACTTGAGTTTACTTAGCTTGGTTATAGCAGGCTGTCTGGTTAGCACCAAAGAGGTATGTTGCTCCAGCGTTGAGCCAAGGTCAGAATGAGCTTTAAATAGGACACCAGGCAATCAGGAGGATCTGCTGCAGCTGCAGCAACCAGGCAGGTGGGAGCTCCAATTGCATCAGACCCTACCTGAGTGTGCGTCATTATTTCAACATGGCTGCCCCTCGCATGAAACTCTTTTACAAATCATTTTTTAACAGTTCTGTGTTGTTTTCTTTCCATTAAGTCAGACGTACTTATAGTACTTTAGGGCGATTATTAGGGTTATTAGGATATGTTTTAGCTCTGTACACACAATACACTGTATCATTGCAGAGCAAACAAAATAGAAACACTTTTTCTGACATTCTGACAAGTTTGAAACTGGAACACTTTCAACTCGGAACTGACGTCAGTCCGGCTTCAGAACTCCGCTACAACTGGAACGCAGCATAAGATGGGATATCTTAAAGACAGAAAACTTAAAATGTCTCCAAAATTTTGTATTGTGAGATAAAAACCGAGCTGCAGCTGTATATCTTGTTCTTCCATTGTAAGGATRCATAAGAACAGCTTTAAGGGGGAAGAGTTATTGATTTTAAGGGAAGACCATCCTCACGTTCCTCTAAATCCTCTCTTTTTGAAGAGAACTGTTTAAAATGTAGCTAAGAGACGTATAAAACATAAAAGGTTTTTCTGACCAAACATTTTATTTTAGCTCTGACKGAGGTTTATAAGTGCGCTCGGTAAATCTGCGTGCACCTCAGACTAAAATTAGTCAGGATTTGGTACACTGCCTAAACAAAAACCTTCCATCCTAACCTCCAGCAGGGCTAATCCATGAATGCACTGAAGTGATTGTTGCTCGGGTCAAGCTGGAAACCAGAGCTGGTGTATAAACACAGAGCAGGTTGCCATGCCAACCGCAGCATCTGAGCACAGCAGATAGCTGGATTTGGCTGCAAGCGGCCAAGTCAAATCCCCTCGCTGATCTCAGAAAGGCCACCGAAGACAAAAACACACGCCGCAAACTGCCTGCCCCCTCAACATMCAGCGCACCAGGCAGAGGCAAGAAGGTCGGACTTGTATCTTTTCTTCTTTTGCGTGTTTGAGAAAGGGATGAGCCGCCGCGAGACAATCGGCGTTCAGAAGCTATTCAGTGCAGAAACTTTGCTGCTCTAAGTCCTGAAAAAAAATAGTGGAAAAAGAAGGAAAGTGGACTTTAAAAAAAAGCCTCACCAAATTATTATTCATGGGGGGGATTTTCCTTTCAGACCTTTTCCCCCAAAGCCTCTCTATCAGCGCTGACAAGTGCCAATCAAAAGGTTTGAGTTCAGGTTTTTGGAGGAACGCTGCAGGATTTCAGAGACAATAAGCTGCGAGTCCACAGTGCCGGCGGCTTAGAGACAATGGTGACATGGCTACACTGTCAGTGTGTGGTCTGTGGAGGGGGGCGAGGGGATGCTTGCTCACTACATGACTAATCTCTGCTCGCATCATCTCTATCTTTTTTTTGCAGCTTAATCTGTYCCGTAGCTTCCTCAGGGACAATTCACCAGGGTCAGTTCAGATTAGTGCTCTTTGTGGCCCCGCGCATCGCCACATGCATTTGGACTCYAATATCTTTACTTAGCAGCTGAATGCTAAACTGTGGGCAGAGGGCTAACAAGCGTGAAACAAATATGAGGGGAGGGATTATTCCATTTGAATTACGAAAAAGTTACTTCCTKTGTTGTTTTGTAATTATGCTTTACACATTAAAGTTTTTATGACAAAAAGTGATTTTTGGAAGCATTATGGGAAATAAGTATTATTATTATTATTATTATTATTATTATTATTATTATTATTATTATTATTATGTGATTTCTCCAATTCTACATTTAATTTCCTTTCTAATTTTCTCATTAATAGAATTCATAAACATCAATAAAATGACCATTGTTGGCATTTGCTTTTAATGTTAGCCTTTAGCACTTCTTCCACTTTATAGTTTCTTGCTCTGATTGTGGTTTTAGATCAGCAAATGCCTAAAAGAACAAGTGTTTTCAACTTTACTGACAGCTTTTCTATCATTTGCTGTAAAAGTGCAGCTGAGGTCACTATGTGGACCAAACACAAGCTGTATTTTTTTATTTAAATAGTTACRGAAGTCTGGCAAAAGCAAACTTTTCAAAAGGAAAACATAATATTTTGACATATTTATGACTGATAATTTTTTAAAAAGTGCATACACTCAATCCTGTTTGCACAGAATTTTATTAAAAATGTCTTGTTTTTGTCTGAGCAAATGAAGAAATGAACAGGACATGCTGAGTGAATTAGAGACAAAGTACACAGAGCCTAAAAAAGTGAACTGGATTAAACTCAGAGTTTGTTTTGCTCCGTTGACTCTAAAATCCAGACATAATGCCATTATTTGACAAACTGGGAATAAAAAATGGTTTCAAGTGTTCAGATTTGATGTACTTTTAGCCTAAAATGCATCATTTATCTCTAAAACTTTGAAGCGAAGCTACATTTTTAAACGTTCCAACACTTGAGATTGGAAATCTATTCATTCTGTTTGTCTCAACCTCYTCTTTATAAATTGTTTGAAAAATTCTATACGTTTAATAAATACAGCAGGTTTGAATGCAGCCCACGAGAGAAGAAAAGCATGATGTTAAAGAGGTAATCTCCTGAATCTAAATGTAAATCAGCCTGCCTGATTGTCGTGACTGATCTGATGACGGAGTCAGGATGAGGTCAGTCTCCTCATCGCTCCCAAGTCTTATTGAGACGTTGAGCCGCTCTCACCTCAGGGGTGACCAGGTCTCACCTATCAGCACAAAGACCAGCCGCACGCTGAGCATCTTTTAGAGACCGGGTGACCCTATGACTGACCTCGCCTCGCCCTGCTGATGACCCCCCCTCCCCCTCCCGCATGAGGGTGACCATGCCTTTGGCCTCTAAGAGGTCAGCACTCACGATCCTCCAAGTTACGTCTCTTTCTCCAGGTTTGTATTATTCCGATTAAGGRGTAAAATAGTGAACAATAGATTTTAAAATGTACCAAATTAAATCAATCAGCTCTTTAAAGGGACAATATTATGTGTTTCTCAGGCATACATTTAAATACTATACCATAAGTATATATGTCACATTTAGCTGTTATTAAAATGCTGTTTTTTATGTTTAAATAGAAAATAAATTTATCTTCTCATCACTTCCTCTTCTAAACGCCTTGAAATTGGCCTCTGTCTCTTTAAGAACCACCTTCATTTCTGTCTCGCCCATTTCGGTGCGGGGAGGGGGTGGGGGACTGCTGCTGCCATGATGCAGTTTACTTGGCATCTGAAAATACATTTCAAAGGTATTTTTAATCTGAAAATAGCTTCACTGAGTGAGAAGTAATGCTGAGAGCTCAGCAGACAGTTAGGCTTCA